GTTCCTCTTCGCAACACTACGGTAGTAATACGGAGTCAGTTCAAGTGTCGGGAAAGAAACCAAATGATTTTACATAGGGCCTACATTCGCTCAGGAACATGAATACTGGAGGGAAAGAGTCATATTAACCAACTAAGCACTCTGTCACTGTTTCGCATTCTACATAAATACATGGGTTACGTCATCAATTTTATTTTAGCGACACAGTCAATTGCAAAAAATGAAGTTCCATATCGGTTAACACCAACGCAGTGAATAATTAACGACCTCCAAGTACCCAGCGTCCTGCTTTATAATTTTAATGCATACAAACTCGCTTCCTAGTTTTCAATCTGCGAAAATAATAACAAATCATAATCAATAATGTGGGACATTAATAATTTAAAACTTACCATTCTTACAAGAAACAGTAGTTGTCGTTGGTAAGTCCTCGGTGATTTACAGTTGCTACTTGTAGTCGTACAGTTAATGAAAAACGCTCGGTTTGTTAGAGGGGCACGACAAACCTATTGCGAGTATGCAAATGAGCTTACTGAGACGACTCAATGAACAAACAATTCATGATCAACAATTATATGTTTTATTCATACACTCAGACATTCCATCTTCGGTAGCAACACCACTCATGCGAGAGTTCACTTTGGCTATAGAAACGACTTAAATAGAAGACCTAATATAAGATATTCCTGCATAAAATATATTAAACAAGTCAATCAAAAAGATATGATACAATGAAAATGACGATTACAATTCAAGCACTGGCTCGCGGTGAATCAGATTTCTTTTAATTATTAACGAGTAGTTAAGCCGTTGCAATGAGAACATTTGGCTAATCCATACACCATACATATTTTGAATTGTAGTTGGTCTATTATAATAGATATAGGCCCTACTGATTCTTTAGTAAATGATTTTACGGATACGGTATTGGCGTGCGAAACAAGCTTACAAGTAAAAAATTCGGCGTGCAAAACAAGCCTACAAGAAGTAAAAAGTTGAGTAATAGGAAGTTCTGACTGGGCTCCTGGGACCACAGCCACAGGACAGATCCTTGTTATATAATGCGCAGGCAATTAATTTTCTACTCTTTTCCAAACAGTAGCTTTCTGTTTTTTCTTGTTATCCGCCAAAACAACAAATGCAAGTAAAGTCAACGTCTTAGGTCTATCGTTTTTATGCTAATAATCTAAATATTTCACTGTATATTAATTGCACACAGCCTGTTCCATCTGTCACACCGATCTGTTTTCTCTTTCGTCTTGTTTTTTATTTAATATGGACATATTTTTGTTTGAAATAAAATAATTGATTGATTGATTGATTGATAAATATCGGTCGAATGTTTTTGTACATCAAACCGTTTTAAACAACACTACAGTGATCTTGGTTATGAGGACAGAAATTGATAGGCCTATGCTGTACCGTACATTTCTAAGATATAGAAAGGGTGTTTGAAAAAATATAATCAGGAACGGCTAAGATACGAATTCTTGACTATTTTAAAAAGTAACTTATTTGCCTTTTTTTTAAAAATTATTATTTCTTCAAACATCTATTCACTGCCTATCATATTTGTAGGCAAAACATATAAATTTGCTCGGGGGTATTTTGCCTCGAGTCTAGTCAAACTATTTTTAAGCCATGATGCGAGTTTTTGAGTTCTTTTTATTCTTTGTTTTGGTGTTGTAATCACTATTTTTTTTTTATCCCTAGGGAACGCATCTTTACACAGGAAGATAAATAAAAACGAAACATCCTGAACAGAGAATGGTGTTCATATTTGTTGCTAATTCAGGTTCTACTTTTCTGCCAAAAGGAATAAAATAAAAATATAAATAAACAAGATCATCCGAAGACATATTTTTTATATCAACGAATGAAATTTTTAGACAGTTGTATAACAATCACGAGTACATTTTATTCAAAATGTCGTTGCAAGGTTATTCGTTACAGCATGCCTACAATGTGCGTGTGCGTGTTAACAGTAATATGACACATACGTATATCAACCTAGGCCTATAACTGTAGTACTAAAGTTAAAGGTATACATGTACTCTTCTTTTCATCATAAGTTTCTGGTTTAATTAGGCCGAAAGTTTATATTGCCCAAGCATGACCAACCCAAAAATCTAGGATCGTCTTTTGCAAATATATATATATATATATATATAT